AGGAATGCCACTAGAAAGTAAGGTCCATATGGGCAGGGGATTTTTGTTTGTTTTGTCTACTTCGATACCTGGGAACAATGCCTAAAATATAATAAGCACTCAATTAGTAAAATCATGACAGAATAAGAAAATGTACTAAATGTTCTTTAGGTCCAAAGGAGTCAGCAAGCTCTGAGAGATTGTAATCTTTCCTTTCAAGGCAAATTTGATGGATAACTACATCAAATCAACCCAACTATAAACACTTTCCTCCCTTATTTTCAAATTTAGCTTCTATGCTTATCTTGCTCTAGGAATTATCATAACGGTAATGGCAAAGCCTTCTTGTGTCTCTTCTGTATCTCATAATAATAGCTATCACTTATTTAGGACTTACTATGTGCCCAGCTCCTATGTGCACTGTTCTAAGTTTCTTATATATTAACTCTTCTACTCCTATCACAAACATTTTAAAATATCCACACAAGAAGGAGCTCTTGAAGAGGTAAAAAGCACCTAATAGAGAAAGACCAATACAGCAGAAGAAACTGTGTTTGCATAATGGCCACTGGGTCTCAGAATCCTTAGTTGAGCACACCTTCTAAGTAAGGAACCCAAGGGCCTGAGAAAAAGTGCTCTTGAGTCTGGAGTTCTAAGGTGTACCTCAGAAAGCTTGACATATCTTTAGTCTTTTATTTGACCTTTAAAATTCACCATAGATGTCAGATTAGTAAGCAGGTACGGACTGGTAGGGGGCACAAGGGAGCCTTCTGGGTGCTGGAAATTTCTATATCTGATCTAGGTGGCCATTATATGAATGTATACGTATATAAAAATCCATCCATTGAGGTATATACTTAAGATTCATGCACTTGGGGCTTCCCTGGTGGTGCAGCAGTTAAGAATCCGCCTGCCAATGCAGGGGATACGTGTTTGAGCCCTGGTCCGGGAAGATCCCACATGCTGGCGAGCAACTAAGCCCGTGCATCACAACTACTGAGCTTGCGCTCTAGAGCCTGCGAGCCACAACTACTGAAGCCCATGTGCCACAGCTATTGAAGCCCGCGCACCTAGAGCCCGTGCTCCACATCAAGAGAAGCCACCACAATGAGAAGGCCGTGCACCGCAACGAAGAGTAGCCCCCACTTGCCGCAACTAAAAGAAAGCCCGCGCGCAGCAACAAGGACCCAATGCAGCCAAAAATAAATTAATTTTTTTTAAAGTTATAAAAATTATTTTTAAAAGATTCGTGCATTTTATGAAAATTATACTTTAAAAGAAAAAATTAATGACCAGCTGTCTCTTCGAGGATATTGTTCTCTTCAAGAGCTTCAACTATTATTTTTAGGAGTGTGGCAGGGTCAAAATATTGAAACACGAAAGACCAAAGCCTTCTCCCTCTCTGAAAGAGTTCATCTGAATTTTGCATTCTAGCCCACAATAGATTAGTATTTGTTCGAATATAAATTATTGTGGGTTTTTCCCCAGCTTGTCAAGTAAGATTAATCCCAGAAAGATGTACCCTGCTCACCCCACGTTAGAGAAACACTTGGCCCCATTGCAATGCTCGCGAGACAGTTTGGAAAATAGTAAAGAGGGGTCTCAGTTAGGGTCCCAAGACAATCTTTTTTTTTTTTTGCGGTACGCGGGCCTCTCACTGTTGTGGCCTCTCCCGTTGCGGAGCACCCGCTCCGGACGCACAGGCTCAGCGGCCATGGCTCACGGGCCCAGCTGCTCCGCGGCATGTGGGATCTTCCCGGACCGGGGCACGAACCCGTGTCCCCTGCATCGGCAGGCGGACTCTCAACCACTGCGCCACCAGGGAAGCCCCCCAAGACAATCTTTTAAGGAGTCTGGCAGATGAACAGTAACCAGATGTTTGCAAATCAAGTTAAAATTTCTATTATGGCCTTCAAATTATTTAAATGTTAATTTCAAAGTAAACTTGAACTCTTCCCTAGAGTATTCATTGTCATGTCTGAAGATTAAGTTCACCAACAGCTCAGTGGTTAAAAACAGCAGAAAAGGGAATTCCTTGGCAGTCCAGTGGTTAGGACTCGGCACTTTCACTGCTGGGACTTGGGTTCAACCCCTGGTTGGGAAACTAAGATCCTAGAAGCTGCGTGATGCAGCCAAAAAAAAAAAAAAGCAACAACAGCAGAAAAAGAAACTTTCCTCTCTTTTTTTCATTATTATTATTGTTATTATTATTAGGTAAAGAGAAGTACCTAATTTCAGTGATAATGAGAGGAGAGACACCTGGAATCCCATCCCCCTACCTTGTTCAAAGTCCCCTGTCTGCTTCTCCCACACAGAGAACCCTGGTAGACTTCAAAGTTAGAGCAGAAGTGATAGACAAGAGTCTGGTCTTTGATGCCTAAGAACATCGTATCCCTCAGTTTGATGTGAATGCAAAGCATCTGTACCTTTCAAACCTTTCATGTTACCTCACGTTGCTAACAACAAAGCTGAAAAGTTTGAGGTGACACACATCACACACATTAAAATATTTGCAACCAGGAACTTTTCATTTCTTTTTCTATCATATATAGCTTCTTTTACTTTGTGAACCACACTGGATAGTAAATTACTTCTGGCACGCAGCCTTGTCAGCTTGCCAAATTTCAACCGGAGCAATTTTTTACAGCCGGGCTAATAAGCCCTGAAAATTAGGAGGTAAGTATAATGGAAATAATGACATGGTCTTTAACTGCAGAAGCCTAGAATGACAACGTGAGAGTCTAATAGATTCTACTTTTCAAAGTTTTTTTTTATTCTAGTGAAATCCTTTTTAAAAATTTTAGGTTCTTGTAGTTCAAAACACATGTAAATGGAGAGAGTTTCTTTTAATTGGTGAAAAGCATATTTGTGGGGTTTTTTTCCCCTGTGGCTTAAGTTATTGCTTTTTGCAAACTCGAAAAAAACAAAAACAAAAAGAAAACCAAGAATATGGTAGTTTGAGGATAACAACCTTCTATTAAAACAAACTAACATCTTGAAAAAACATGTTCGGAAATGATTGGCTTCCAGGATGGGGCCTGGCGATTGTGTATGAATACATTTCATCAAAACCATAGGTGATTAGTTACATCAACTTTTTTCAGTTTGCCCCCAATCCAGATAGAAACCCCAGTCCCTGCTAAGTAACCTTCAGGTCTTTATAGAACAAATCTTCAAAAGATAGAAAATTAATATCACATTTAATTTTTA